GTTGAAATTTTACTAGGTCTTCTGTATGTGTTGTTAATTAACTGAGTCTTTACAATAACTTATTAAAATAAAACTATTATCAAGTTTTACAGATTTAAAAATCAAGACTCAGCTTTCCCTAGGCCAGTGATGGCAAACCTTTTGCCTTGTTGAAATTTTACTAGGTCTTCTGCATGTGTTGTGTTAATTAGCTGAGTCTTTACAATAGCTTATTAAAATAAAACTATTATCAAGTTTTAGAGATTTAAAAATCAAGACTCCGCTTGCCCTAGGCCAGTGATGACGAACCTTTTGAGCTCGGCGTGTCAGCATTTTGAAAAACCCTAAGTTAACTCTGGTGCTGTGTCACATACAGAAATTTTTTGATATTTGCAACCATAGTACAACAAAGACTTATATTTTTGATATTTATTTTATATATTTAAATGCCATTTAACAAAGAAAAATCAACCAAAAAAATTAGTTTGCGTGTCACCTCTGACACACGTGTCGTAGGTTCGCCATCACTGCCCTAGGCTATAGGTACAGAGAGAGGATTAGAATGCACATCTCTTCTTCCCTCTACAATGTCTATAGATATTATCATGCAACCAACATTGCATAATATACTTAACTGGGCTCTAAATGAGCCCATAAAATATTTTTTGTTCAGAGGAATTTATTTGTATATGTTATGGCGTATTCCATGCGGAAATTGGCATTGATATGACCTATCAATAAAAATTTAAAAAAAACACACTATGCAAAAAGAATAGGCTTATTTTAAGCATGTATATACTGAGTGAATGCATGCTAAACTCTGGTTCTCTTGTCTTTCTTACCTAAGTCAATGAAAGCCTTCTATTTAATCATTTATCCCAGTGTTTAACACCTATATTTTTATCGATAATTTTCTGTATCCTTTGAGTTTTCTCCATCAGAATTTTTGGTTATTTTTTTGTCTGGCTCCCAAAATTTCCCAAAGTTTCTTAATGATCACTGACAGTATATTTAGAAAAGTGCTTTAGTATGGTTTTTCTGGCTTAAACAGATTTCCCATCTATATAACTCTAAATTATAAGACAATATAATCACTTTTTTTCTGAAATTTCCTATTAACTTCCATGCCATACACTGATTATTTTCTCTTTGTGAGAATTAAATCCAAAGTAATTTTCTTTTTATTCCCTTCATCTTCTTATAGATGAAACCATCAATTAAAGTCAAGAACTAGCCAGCAATTTTAATAACAGAATGACCATTTAGTAGATATCTACCTTTTCTTTATTTCTTATAACAACATTTTGAAGTAAAAAAAAAATTCAGTTTTCCCTATTGTTTAGATTGGAGACAATAAGCATAGAGCAGTGAAATAACTTGTGTTTAAGTTAGACATCACACACATATAATTTTAATACATGAATATTACACAACTAGAAAAAATTACCATGTGTATTAGACACAAAAAAAATCCATATTTTTAACCATCTGATCAAAGTGGTTGGGTGCATTTTTTCTACTAACATTCATAGTAAGAAATATACTTTATATCAATGAAAACATAAACACCTACATGAAGACACACACCTATGTATATTTATTGCAGTTTATTTATCTCTATATATAACCAAAAACGGTTGCACAAATATTATACTTATTCTTACTGTGTTCTTTGAATTATAGTGTTTTTCTGTTCTTCTAATTTTCTTTATTTTATTTTACTAAATTTTTATATCATTTGTAAAAATGCTAGCCATGACCCAATGGATTGATTTTATGACTCATGGTGGTGACCCATAGTTTGGAAAGTCGGCCCTCGATGAGATCATCGCCATGGTCAATCTTGTACAACAAATCACAATCATTCATCTGATTAGAGAGTCATAGTGATATCATTGTCTCTCTCTCCTTACTGATTTTTTCCCCGACTGTGTCTCTATCCTCATAAATATAGTTATATACAAACATGATTTTTGAATGTGCAATATTATTTTTTCTTATATAATTATTTTATGTAGTTATAATATCCATTTCCAACAGCTTGAACAAAAATTCCCCATTGTCTGCAATAGAACTCTCTGTCATTTTATTTTAAGACTAGAGGCCCAGTGCACAAAAACCCACGCACTCGGGAGAGGGAGGTCCCTCAGCCTGGGCTGTGTCCTCTTGCAGTCTGGCAGCCCTTGGGGGATGTCCTCACAGGGAGCGGGCCTAAGCTGGCAGTCGGACATCCTTAGCACTTCTGTGGAGGCGTGCCCTGTGGGAGTGCACTGACCAGGGGGCAGCTCCGGCATTGAGTATCTGGCCCCTGGTGGTCAGTACGCATCATAGCGACTGGTCATTCTGCTGTTTGGTCGATTTGCATATTAGCCTTTTATTATATAGGATGTCTGGTTTTCATTAAAATAATTTCTAAATCACTCTGTGTTTGACTTTCTGCTTAACACTAAGATATGGGTTTTTGGAAAGGCCAGTAGTCACCAGTTCCATAAAGTGGTGAACTGATCCTTATTTTGGAAAACACTTTAGGAATTTATCCAGAAATATATTCATAAAATACTGAATCACCATCATCAAAACCTGCTTCATTGTTAACTGGGGACGTTCACAGTTTCCCCTCTTGTGCTCACTGGATGATCCCTTCAAAACCATTCCCAAAGAGCTGTTCATTTACTACAGCTAACTGCTCAGCAGACTTCATTCCCCAAGTGAAGGTATTATCTGTTTCAGGTGCCTTTCTGATCAGTAATTGCCTTAATCTCAAAAATATTATGTCTTTTCCCCTTAATTGTATTTCCAGGATCAGAAGTCTCCTCCTGGATATGATCATTGTCTGATCCTTTGTCAGTCTGATTCTGGTACCCTGGTTTTCACTAACTCTGCTGGAGCGCATCTGGCAATCTCATACCTGATATTAGGTCACTGAAACCAGTTTAGGTCCTTCTCCATCCTTCTATGTCTGTGAGTTTTCCTTGTGCTACTGAAGCTACCTAAGCAGCTCTGATTTGGTTTTTGTTTTCAGACAACCTAATTCTTAGAAATATAAATTTTCTATGTTTCTTTTTCTATAGAAATTTACCACAAAAAGATGACACTATTTAAGTTGTTGCATTTATCTACTTCTGTTGAAATATCAGTTGTATTATGTTTGTTCCTTATTTACTCATCCAGTATTTTCTAGGTACCTAATGATTTCAGGGAATCCTCTAGGTCCTGAACACAAATGAACTAAACAGGCCCTATTGGTGCTCTCAGTTAGCTCACCTACCACAACATACACATTGCTTTAGAGACACTTGGGAATATAAACATTTCCCTACCATGTCTTTATTGAATCCAATTTAAAAATCTTTGATAAAATCTCTGCATTGCTATTCCACATTTGTAGGTTGTATGTTAAGTGGTTGATTTTTTTAAAGTACAGAACTGACTTTAAACATTTATTGACTCACTCTTTCTAATAATAATTATTCGAAATATATATATATATATATAGTTCTTACCATGACAGCTTGGTAAGGCTCTATTCCATCCAGGTCTTCCATCATCTCCCATGATACAGGTGAGTGTTGAATAACCTTGAAGAACATAACCAGCATCGCAGTAATAGGTGACTGTTGACCCTAATTTATAATCCATCCCAAGTCTGGTGCCATTCATTATATTGCCTGGATCAAAGCAGGACTCTCGGAGTTTTGCTGTAAAACAATGTGGATATAAAATGAACTGTTTTACAACACTGTTTTCTATGCAACCTTGAAGATTTCTTCATGATTAGCACTAAATGGAAAGGAAAGCAGCAGCAGCCCCTGAGTGCCGAAGTACAAAGCAGCCCTAAACCATATTTGACATTTTGTTAAGTCATACCCATTAGTAAGAGAATCAAATTCTTTCCTGTTTTTCTCATTAAAATTATTGTCTAACACATATAGTTAAACATAGGGTTTTAGAGTTCATTATAAAAGGAAGCGGGGCTTATTTCCTTACTTAATATTCCTTTATTAAGGTGCACTTATTCCATGTTACCACTGTTTATGTCGAGCTCAGTTCATTTCACCACTAAGAGGAGAATAAAAGACACTTTTTTTTTCTGTCTGGAAAATATTTCTTAACCTACTTGCTTTATCATTCCCACATTTCCATCAGAGGTCTGTCCATTATAACTAGCAACAAAATCTTTATATACCCAAGCCAATAACTTTTTGGACAGAGAAACTATATCAAAGCCAAGCACTTTCAAAGCTAGCAGCGTCAGACAATTGAAAAACTTAAGTTCATTCACAACAAAGGAACTGTTTTCTGCGCACCCAGATAGTGAACTAAAAAGAAAAATATGTAGAAAAAATCTGCTAGTTTGGACATTTTGAGAATAGGCACTAGGACACTTTGTTGTTAAAAGATCTGGTTACGATCTGAGCCTGAAAAAAAAAAAAAAAAAAAAAAAAGATCTGGTTATACCTTAATATTTCCATTTTATTATTATTATAATTTACTTAAGAAATAATAGAGAAATGTGCAATGTAAGGACCATCACAAATTCAGCATAACAAGTGTGATTTTTTTGACATTGGAGTTTATCTTAGTTAATGGGAAGTCAGAGATGGGTATATCTCTGGGTATGAATCATGGCATCTTGGGAATTTAAGTCCACAATGTCTTGGTGTTTGGCTATTGCAAAAATTATATTAATATGTCCAAATCTAATTAATTGCGACAGAAAAGTATATTTTTCTATTCATAAAAGCTTGCAAAGTTTAAATTACTTTAACATTTACAAGAAATGATGAGAAATTTGTGTTTTAGGAAGAACACTATATAAGATTTCTACCAAATCAACAAAAGAGGGAATGTTGGAACCAAACACTTCAATGATTTCAAAAGATTATCAGAGGATGAAGGCCACTTTCTTCCTTCTTTCTTTCCAGCGAATACTTAAAAGCCCATTGCCCAGCCAACTCTACAGAGAAATGGACAATCAGAAAATATTCTAGCCCTCATGACACCTGCAGCCTATTGAGAATTATATTAAATAGTTGTAATTGTGCTGAGTTTGCAAAGGGGGAGGCATTCAGGAACTTACCTAAAAAATTGAGATGTAAACTGAAGATTAAGAAAGCTGAGTTGACTAGGTCTCAGAGAGATGAGAGTCATGAAGGGGAGAAAGTGTACTGGAGTGTGCAAGTCAAATAAACTCAATTCCTGCATTTCAATTCAAAGCTAAAACACTTGATCTCCCATGAGTGTATGGGCCTGTGCAGGTGCACGCAGGCATGCATGTGCATGTACACACACACACACACACACACACACATGCGCACACACACAATTTGCACCCCATCTATTATATTCAGATTTCCCTATAAAAATGATTTCCCAATCCAATACACTATTTTTCTTCCCAGATAAAATATCCACACAGCACTGTTTTCAGATAAGAACCAGCAGGGTAAATAGTAAATTTAGTCACTAAGAATGGGGCTTTAGTCTTGGAGGGTTGGTTTACTTATTTTAAAGAATAAAACCTCACATTGAGTCTTTTTTAAACAAGCAGAAAAACACAACATAATTTTTAGGCAGAACAGCAGCCTAGCATTTATAGCCGGCCTTCATGAAATTGAGTTAAATCCCTTGAGGGAAAGGGAAGGATGGAAATTACTGTTTAAAAGGATTAATCTCCTTGACAGGCCTAAGGAACAGTGGGCGGGGGCGGGGCCTCAGGCCTGAGAGGCAGCCAGGGGTGCAAGGGCTGAGCCCCGTGCATGAATTTCATGCATCAGGCCTCTAGTTTTGTTATAATAATACAGTATCACTACTACATGAGTAACATTTATATATATATGTATATAGATACATACACACACATATATGTATATGTATATTACAATTATACATTTTAAGACACATTTATTAATATTATGTCTAAATGTTCTTAATATCAGAGTACTGTTTAAACTCTAAATATTTATTCAACTGAAAATTTGTTAATATTGTGCTGCATTGAAATTACAAGGAAATAAATGGAGACTAGTCTTGACTTAAACTCTTTGGGGACATTGCTTTCAAATCAGTGAAATATCTCCCCCTCACCCCACACTTCTACTTCTCTGCTCCAATTTACGCTTGCCTACAACATTAGAGCTTTTCTATCATTTGCTTTATGTAAACATAAAGTGGTATTTCTTCCAGAATCCATATTAGGCTTGTGTTTTTGTGATGTTCCGATATAGCAATCATTCGTTATTCAAATACTTTCTATAACTATGATGTAGTTGCACACAAACAAAAATAAGATTCAGTGTCTGTCTTCAAGGGGGAAAGAGAATATAGACATGAACACAAGAAATGGTAATTAGATTCTGGTGTGAGCTCTCATAGAGGTAGGTGCTGGACCTATGGCTTTTTACTTAAAGGCCTACGACCAGCATTATTTAGAGTGAGTCAGGACTTAGAAGCTTTACATTTTCAGTGCTAACAGAAATCAACAGGTTTAAGTATATGACGTATTACAAATGACAATGGAAACAATTTATCCAGGGCCTCCATATATATGTCAGTTCATTTTCGGGGTGTACATTTTATCTTGAAAATCCTGAGGTTTTTGTCTGTCTGTGCCAGAATTAAACATGAGGGCCACTTCATTAACTTTAAAAAACTAGTCAATTAAACAGGTAACAATGTTTTGAAATAAAGATCGGAAATAGGGAAACTGATAAGAAAGACAGACCCTGGAGATCCTGAAGTGGGAATGTAATTTTCCCAGGAATGAGCATTTTGAGGACCAGTCCAGAAAATTAATTAAATTGGATTGGGGTTCATTGATTGATCTTTTCTCCCCCCTCTCCCCTCCCCTGCCTTCCTCTGAGGTTTTACAGTCTGTCTGATGCTTCTATGTCTCTGGGTCTATTTTTGTTCATCAGTTTATGTTGGTCCTTAGATTCTACATATGAATGAGATGATGTGATAATTATCTTTCTCTGACTGGCTAATTTTGCTTAGCATAATGCTCTCTGGGTCCATCCATGCTGTTGCAAATGGTAAGAATTATTTCTTTCTTATAACTGGGTAGTATTCCATGTGCAGATGTGCCATTGTTTTTTAATCCACTCACCTGATGATGGGCATTTAGGCTGTTTCCAAATCTTAGCTATTGCAATTTGTGCTGCTATGAATATAGGGGTGCATATATTCTTTCTGATGGGTGTTTCTGATTTCTTGGGATATATTCATAGAAGTGGGATCACAGGGTCAAACAGGAGTTCCATTTTAACCCGAGGACACAGACAGTGGGTGGTGAAGGCTTGGGGGGTAGAGGAGTGGGAGAGGGCAATGCCGGGGGGAGAAAGGCAATATGTAATACTTTCAACAATAAAGATTTATTTAAAAATAGACCTGAAACACTAAATAAAAAATATATTTTTATATCTGCAATTCATTATTATACAGGGTATCCCCAAAATAAAAAGTTGTTATACACTTTAACAACTGATAGCTCAATTTTGAAATGAAATGTATTTTAATAAACACTGCCTTTATAATTATTCATAGTGTGTATATACATTGCTTGGGACACCCTATAGTTTAAATTTAATATTAATTTATGATTTTTAAGCTTTATTTGTTATCAAAGATTACCGTAACCATAAAAATAGGCACTGCCTTTTAGGTATAAGTCTTGAATCCTTATTTTTAGTGTAAATGAATGCTCTGGTAGAGGATGTAAATGCATGGAGTTATTTCAAAAGAAATATTGTGATCTCTTTAAAACACAGTTCATTTATTCAAAGCCCAACTAACTAAAAAAATATGTATTCTCTGGTAGATTTCTGATCATTGCACCTAATGAAGTAAATGCTGGTGCACATACAGAGAACAGATACAAAGAACAGATTGGTGGTTGCTAAAATTCAGGGTCAGGGGTGGGTGAAATAGATAAAGGTGATCAAAAGATACAAACTTCCAGTTATCAGATAAATAAGTCCTGGAGATGTAATGTACAGCATGGTGACTTCAGTTAACAATACTACATTATGTATATGTGAACATTGCTAAGAGAATAGATCTTAAAAGTTCTCATCCAAGAAAGAAATTGTAACTGCGTAGCGATGGACACTACCTAAACTTATTGTGGTAATCATTTCACAACATATACATATATCAAATCATTACGTTGTACATATAAAATTAATAAAATATCATGGGTCAATTATACCTTAAAACATATGTGGAGTTTCTGAAACACTTTCTCTGCTTTTGACAAAATAAATGATTAACCTCTTCTGAGAGTAATTTGGCAATACGAACTTAGATTAGCCTTTGATTCAATAATCCCATTAGAAAGACACTCACATATATACTGAAAAAAGCATATAAACCAATTTAAAATATAAAATATGTTTATAGGCATCCATAGGCATTGTAACATTAATTCATTTAAATACATGCAGAGATATTCTAAAACATAATTATCACTATATTTTATTATCCCTATTCTGAATATTGACATATTTAAACATCTTTAGACATTTTCTGGAACATAATTATCACTATAATTTGTTCTCTTTATCACTGATCATAGTCTCTGAATAAAAGATATTTAAGTGAATATTCAGCTTCCAAAAAAGTAGTTTTTTTAAAAAATTATTTTGTGGTTTCAGCCAACTCTCAGAGTATGCTAATTGTTAATTTGTTTGCTGATACATTTCCTTTGGTAGTAATTAGGGAAATACTAATTTCCTCCTCACTGATAGGAAAAGTCAGAGTTCTTTCATGAGATGAACTGTAAGTAGTCTGCGCTGAGAAATGCACAGATAACCACTGACAGTGGCCACTGCAGAGTTATCCTCCTATAGAAAATACAAATGAAACCATGATGCTGAAATCAAATGTTCACACTTACCTTTATATTCTAAATGAAATCCAGTATAACTCACAGACCCATCACTCCGAAAAGCCAAATGCATGGTATTGGAGCTGCTTTCTATTCTCTCTGGTAACTTGCTATCTTGAAAACTTCCAATTAGCGGGCTATTGCTGTCTGGCCCATCATGTATATAGAGGAAGTCATAGTTTGGTTCTATGCTGAAACTAAAAAAAAAAAAATAGAGTGAGACAGAAGGACATGAAATGGATATTACTAAGATATATATATATATTCAGATATTAATTCAGTCTTTATCTTTAAAAATAACACCCGACCCTGTCAAAATGAGTTAATTGGAAATTTTGCCCAGCAAAAACACACTAAATATGAATACCAAATCAAAAGTGAAAAACAGAAAGACATCTTAATATTTTCAAATATTTCTAAGTTAGCATTGTGACTACAGGGAATGCAAATGATTGTAAGCCAAACAGTTTAGCTGATGAAAGGGTATAGGATTTGGAACCAGAGATGCATGTTCAAGCTTTGCTTCTGTCCTTGTTAACCTATACAACCTTATGTAAGTTACTTTATATCAGTAAAATGTGGAGGACAATATCTACTTTATTTAGATATTTTGCTTCAAAAAATGAAACTTATTTTTTTCTTTATCAGTGATACCACTTGCCCTGAATTTCAAAATTTATAAGCAGCTTCGCTGTTTTAAAAGTCAACTCCAGCCGAAACTGGTTTGGCTCAGTGGATAGAGCGTCGGCCTGCGGACTGAAGGGTCCCAGGTTCGATTCCTGTCAAGGGCATGTACCTGGGTTGCGGGCACATCCCCAGTGGGAGATGTGCAGGAGGCAGCTGATCGATGTTTCTCTCATCGATGTTTCTAACTCTCTATCTCTCTCCCTTCCTCTCTGTAAAAAATCAATAAAATATATTTAAAAAATAAAAAAATAAAAGTCAACTCCATATGTCATATTCAAACAAAAGTTTGAGATACAAATTTGCACATAAATTACACAAATGAAGCACTTTACATTGCATTAGGTATACCTTTTCTTAAAATAAATATACTGTATTGTTTTAGAACTTAATGTAGGAGAAATCAAACCAATCAACTATTTGTCAAAACTAAATAACGTGCTAATAAAGACATTTTAGCATGTAAATTATTCCAATTATTTTAATATTGCAAATTTGCATATTATATTTGCTCAAGAAGTCTTCAAAAGTATGAACATTGTCCCACAATGATTATAGAACCCACATGTTTAGAAGGCAGAAGATATGTACTCTCCTGGAACACTGGACAGTACATTCTAGATCTAGAACCATTTGTCTCTCTCTTAGCTCATATTGTGGCAGAGAAAAAATGGACTTAATCGGGTCGTTAAGAAAAGCCAACAAGTTTATGACAAAACCAGTAAAGCTTGCCACTGTTGAACATTCATCAGTGGAGAAACTATTTTTACAAGTTTTGTCCTCCTTGAATCTAAATAAGAAACTTAGGTGGGAGATATTTCCAAATATACTGGATTTATAGAAGTTAAGTTTACAAATCAATTCCAATCCTTTCTGTGTGCATGTATAAGAGAGAGGAATCCAACTAGCTTACTGCTGCATAAGTAGTGGTGAAGAAAGACTGGGATAGCCGAAACCGGTTTGGCTCAGTGGATAGAGCGTCGGCTTGCAGACTGAAAGGTCCCGGGTTCGATTCCGGTCAAGGGCATGTACGTGGGTTGCGGGCACATCCCCACTAGGAGATGTGCAGAAGGCAGCTGATTGATGTTTCTCTCTCATCGATGTTTCTAACTTTCTATATCTCTCACTTCCTCTCTGTAAAAAGTCAATAAAATATATTTAAAAAAAAAAGAAAGACTGGGATAATTAGAGGTTCCCAACCTTTCCACATATAAGGGAACCTGTAACATAAGATAATTGGGGCACCACAGCATTGCTATATTTTGTTTTTATTTATTCATTAGCTTCACAGTCTAATTCAAGTAATGGCTCAAAACCTTTCAGTAAATATGAGGTCTAAATTTTGGTAAATTTTGTATAATATAGCAGAAAATGGAGAATAGGGCCTTATTTTATTGTTTACTACCCTTGTTCTGGGGTAAACCACAACCTTTCTGAACTTCATCTCTTTCAACATTAAGATTTCATGAGGCCCTAGCTGGTTTAGCTCAGTGGATAGAGCATCGGCCTGTGGACTGAAGGGTCCCGGGTTCAATTCTGGTCAAGGGCACATGTCTGGGGTTATGGGCTCGATCCCTAGTAAGAGGTGTGCAGGAAGCAGCCAATCAACGATCCTTTCTCATCATTGATGTTTCTATCTCTCACTCTGATCAATAATATATATATGAATGATTTCATGTGAGTTGCAACTTCCTTGTCTATCTCACTGTTGGGAGAATCACTTGAAACAACTGCTTTGGAAATGATATATTATAATGGCGTGTATTCCTTGAAGGCCAAAAGCCCACTTAAGAATGGATTGCAGTACTTTTCTTTTTAATTTCTAGTTTGGGGTTAAATAAAAACTTCAAAATAATGATTTGTAACTTCTTTGAAAATAAAACAAAAACAGTTTTGTTGTTTCTCTAGGAAATCTCCAAATCTTAACTATAATGATTATTTTTCCTGGAACACCGGAGAGTACATTCTAGTCGTACATTGATTTTACAAGGCGCTTTCATAAATATTAACTTGGTTTTATCAATAATCCCGTGGTATAGGAAAGGGATTATCATTTTCCTTTTTCCCAATGACTATACTAAGAACATCAGTAGTTTCCTTAAGGTCACATAATATATAACAGCTGGAAATCAAATTTAGGTCATGCACTTCCTGTAAAAAAGCCTTCTACCACTCATTTTAATTAGAATAAATTTATAAGTAAACTAAGTCTTGTGTTATACATTTTCATTCTGAATACCTGTACTGCTATTTCTTCGACTGTAAAAATGGGAACAATAACAATACCTCAGGGAGTTTCCCTATAGCTGGGTGCTGGCATCACACTAACATCATCATCATTGTTTCTTTGTTACCAATGAACAATGTATCACTAAAAATTATAGAACTAAAAATTCTATGCATTTACAATGTTTTCAAATATTCATGAATTTAAACTATCTTTAAATTTTTTTTAAACCTAGCTCCGATATATTAGAAAATGCATAGTTAAGCTTGCTATTTCACATAACTACCAAGCAGGTTTAACACACTAGCAGAAGGAGGAGTAGTGTTAATAGAGCCCGTGTACATCAGTCTTGGACACTGAAGATTAGTAACATTTCTGCTTAGGACGTTTTGGACTTGCTGATACCTAATATTCCCATTGAAATGTTAAGGGGGAGGGTTAGGCCAGGTTTTGTGATCACAGTTATTAACCCCATGTGAGAAAACAGAGGCTCATTCAAAAACATCCTGGTAACACAGATGACAGTGGCAGAGCCCGGGTTCAAACTCAGCTGCCTCCTTTCTCACACAAGAAGCTACATTCTCCACTGCTTCAGTACTAAGCTAACCCTGCGACTCATTACAGGGATAAACAACTATTGTGAGTTTTAAAACACTCCCTTGTAAAATTCTGTCATGAGACCATTCTGCCCGGATGGCGTGGCTCAGTGGATGAATGCCAACCTATGAACCAGGAGGTTACGGTTGGCTGAATGACAGGTCTGGGCACATGCCCAGGTTGCAGGCTTGATCCCAGTGTGGGGCATGCAGGAGGCAGCTGATAAATTATTCTCTCTCATCATTGATGGTTCTCTCTCTCTCTCCCACTTCCTTCCTCTCTGAAATCAATTAAAATATATTTTTTTTAAAAAGAGACAATTCTGCTGAGAAATATGGAGAAGATCGGAAAATTCTTTGTTAGCTTGATTTAATGAGACCACCAGAAAGGGTGGTTGGTAAGCAGACTATCTGTCTTCCCAAGCCCAGTGGTGCCTCTGCACACATGGACATTTAGATGCTGCAGAAGGGAGGGAAAAAATTCTTGAAGTACTGACCTTTTCATCATGAAGTTTAGGAAAAACTGAAGTTTTGAAGCAGTGATGGCAAGTACAGGGAGGGAGAAAAGGTTATAAAGAGATCGCATTTCACGAGGGTCAATAAACCACTCGACCTTGAACACGTTTCCTCTACGCTGGAATCTGGGGAAGATGCTCACCCTCTAGGCTTCTGAACTGCATTGGCATCTCTGCCATGATACAGGGCTTTGTAAAATGTTGATTGCAAAGTAGTGTTGCAATTAGTTAGCAATAATAAAAATGTCATGTATAGAAATAAAGTTTGCCTAAGCAGGTGCTAAAGAAAACGACAGGTAGATATATATATTATTATTTTTACTTTTTTTACAGAGAGGAAGGGAGAGGGATAAAGAGTTAGAAATATTGATGAGAAACACCAATCAGCTGACTCCTGCACACCCCCTCCTGGGGATCAAACCAGCAACCAAGGTGCATGCCCTTGACCAGAATCAAAACCGGGACCCTTCAGTCCAAGGGCCGATGCTCTATCCACTGAGCCCAACTGGTCAGGTGACAAATGTGGAAATTATAGGCACTCACCTGATAAAGGCCAAGGAGATGACATAGTCTGTGTTGACAGTGATGGTCCAGTCGCAGTCCCTGCTGTGGGGATATGGATGAGGGAAGTTTGGCGAGAGAATAAAGCCTGAAGATCCTGTTAAATTGCCTCCACAGGGTGCTTTAAATGAACAAAGAAAATCCCTTAAGTGGTTAATAAAATTTACTAGCTATCAATATTTGTGAAAACTGTTTTGTAAAAAGGCTTAGGAGGTTTTGAACAGATCTGACTTTTTGATAGCGCTTAATGCTTGGATATTGCATTGTCTTTCAAGAAAAACCACTTAAATAGTAAATACACACATACATGGATATATTGGATTCAGCTCCTTTTACTGGCTTCAAAAGATAAGAAAAATTACATATGGACTTAAGTTCCTTTCCATTTTTTTATGTATGAAAAAAGCATTGAGAAGAGGGATAAAGATGGTTTCCCCATTGCTACTAAAAAAAAAAAATGAGGGTTACTATGAATGTTAGAAACTAAGTAAATAAAAACCTCTAATAATAAATGGAATACTAGGATGTATGATATCTGGCACATTTTTACATCCTCCCATTACCTTTCTATATATTTCTGAAGGAAGAGCCTTTGATATAGTTAATGAGTGAGAATGGATAATTACCTGAGAACATACAGCACTTTACAATAAAAGACTCTTATATTGAGTGTTAGGATAATCCTAATTTCTAGTTGCCTAACTCGCTAATGAAATGGACAAGCTGCTACAGTTATTATCTCAGCCCCAAACAAAGGTTTCTTTAACACTTCAGTGGACAGGCTCAAAAAGTTCTTAGTGAAGTTCAGAGAACAGATTCTTTAGAAGATTACTGTTGAGGTCTATTAAACACAGCTTATGATCAGAAATATATATCTATAGATAGATAGATATACAGAGTTAGCAGCTTCAGAAAAATAGAGAACAAAAGATATGAAGGTCCCTGGTGGTGAAGTGGGATTGTAAATAAACAGAGAGAGAGAGAGAGAGAGAGAGAGAGAGAGAGAGAGAGTCTCATGGTATCTCCTACACATGATCAGCACATCAGCATTCTTCTCTTAAAATTATAGTTTTCTCAGGTACATTTTACCATTCAGTTATAAGGCATTCTTGATTCTCTGACAGTATAAAACTCTTTTGGGAAGGAGGAAAATTCTGGTTCTCTCTGGTAACATTTCAGATCTCTGATCTTTTGCCTGAGTCTAGATATGCAAATTTATCAATAAAATTATCATCTAAACTACAGATGTCCACGATATCCTTTCTCCATGTCCCTGGATACCCTTGCCTTAGTGCTTCAGTCATCGTAGATTACTTCAGCTCCTACTCAATGGAGAATAAATATTTTTACTTATCACCTGTGTATTTTTGTGGTATAATACGCCCAAATGCTTACTGGTTATCTCTACCTGATAGCCTATAGGTACATCAAACACAAAATATCCAATATATCCAAACCTCAACTCAAATTTGCTTCTCCTTTTGCATCCCTAAGTTCTTTGATTAGCACTATCATCTCCCCTAACTAGAGATGTGAAATTCTTCCCTTCCCTTCACTGCATACCTGTGTCCAGTCCATCAAGAAGCATTGCCAGGACTCCACCTCACTGATCCTCATGGACACTTTTCAACCCATCTCTTCTTTCTTTGCCTGCTACCATATTGCTAGATCTGACCTTTTTATCTGCCACCTGAATTATGGCATGGCTTCTTGTTTCCCATGCCTCTAAAATTCTCCAATTCATCTCTGCCCTATTAAAAATATCTAATCATACTATGCCCATGCATAAAATTCTGCAGTTGTTTCACATGCCTAACAGATACTGTCTCCTCTAGTGCAGTTTTCATAACCCAACCTCTCCAACCTTTCCAATGGATTCATTCACCACTCTAAGCATATAAATATCGTCAGGATGCACACAGTTCTGAGTACTTCCCTGCCTTTGCCCACATATTTGTTTTCCCTTCTATATTTAGATAGCCCCTACTTACATTTCAAGATTCATTCTGTCTCTAGGAAGTTTTACAGAAATTTCCAATCTAGGCTCTGCTTAAATAGTCTCCAACTCACTTTGGTATCCATAGCAACCTCTGCCTAGCTCCATTATTTCCATTACCATATCTTATTTAAAGATCCCTTTCAAACGTCTGAATTCATCACTCATCTATTAGATAAAGACTGTGTCTTACATGCGACTTTATACCTGGGATTCAGCATATAGCATACATTCCATACATGTTTGTGGAATTGCTAGTGGCTCTCTGTATTGATTTTGAAGATAGTTAAGACAACCACAGGTGAATGTATGAATCTAATCTGTAGCTATGCATTTTGACAAAAATAATAGCATGTTTTGCTTTGAAACTTGTAAAATCTACATGAATTTGAAAAAAAATAGAAAATAGGTGTCATAATAGCAGATATTTGTATGTTTATATGCATAAAAGACAGAAATGGCAGCAAAATATTCTGTGTTTCTTTTGATGTGTAAAGTGGTGGGATTACACATAATTTGCAGAAGTGTGGTAGAGTATTGTTTGCTTCAATTTTCCTTATTTTTCAGAGGAAGCAGAAATTTTATACACATGTACACACTCATATATTCACTTATGTATGTGTATCCTTTTTCATAAAATATACAGAAAAATGTATTACATATATTTTAAGTATCTTACTGGATATATTCCATGATTATATTGTGTTACTATTTATTTATTTATGTATTTATTTATTTTTAATCCTCACCCCAAGAGAGAGGATATTTTTTTTCCATTGGCCTTTTTAGAGAGAGTAGAAGGGAACAGGAGTGGAAGAGAAAGAGAGAGAGGCATTGATTTGAGAGAGATACATCAATTGGTTGCCTTCCACTTGCGCCCAAAGATTGAATATGTAACTGAAGTGTGTGCCCTTGACTGGGAATTGAACATGACCCTTCAGTTTGTGGGCCATGCTCTAACCACTGAGAAAACTAGCCAGGGCCCATGAATATATTATTATTTTGGTATAAGATCCCTTAAAAATTACTTTGATTCTATTATTTAAATTATTTATCAAGGTTTTCCTGATATATTTTATTACTGTTAATTGATTTCAAAAATCTACAAAAGACATTGAGGTTATTAAAGACATTATGTGACACGTGTATATCCAAACACTCAGTGAGTAAAGACTATTCTCTTTGCCTTAAATATAGTAAATTTTAATTCCATTTGGGAAATGCGTATTTGTTTTGATGCATCATAAAGCATTCAGAATTAGATTCTCCTTAAGTCAAATAGATTTGTGGATTAAATTTTCAGTTAGGTTCCATGAAATTCTGACATTAATAATTTGTTCTGAGTGTAGTTTCTTGTGAGGCAGTTAGCTATAAGGGGATCTGTTAATAACTATTTTATAATTGTCTTAACGTTTTCACCCTTCAGTTTTATTGGCATCTACTCTCTACCTCAGCAGCCCACCCACACCAATGTCTTTGTTATTGACCTTCATATTGAGTGCTGCTACTTTCCCTCTGGCAATGTCAGAGTAATCTTCACACAGTCAATTTTGTTGGAATGAATTCTATTGTCTCTTAAAGATGATGTCCTTCTGTTTGTCACTTGCTATAAGGCTAACTACTTCTACATGCAAGCACAATGCATGCTCCAGGCTCTAAAACGTAGACTTACGGAATTCTTAAAAGTTCAGGGTTTAATCTTTGGCACAGAGTTTCCAATCATGCAGTTTTTTCTTATCAGTTTCAGAGGTCAAACTTTCTACAGCCTTAGCAATTTTTCAGACATTTTATTTTTAGGTTATTTTCTTCCTCACAGAAGCTCTGATGCATCTCTTCTCCTCAAGCTGTCTTTTCCTACCAAAAAATAACACCCGGCACCGTAATCCACACAAAAACTTTCCACAGCAGTTTAAGTATGACTTAGTGTTCAACTTCCTTTTCTTCTAGAATTAGGACTTGCTACAATCTCGTCTGCAAACGAAATTCTTTAACAGCCTATCTCAAAACCCCTTCCTTTCGTATTTGAGTCTTTACTAGAATTTCAGTAAAAAGCTGTGCAATATTTTAGAATTCTAAACATAAAACACATGAGTCCTCCTAGTAATTCTGGTAATCAACACTCTAGCGAAGTCTAAGAATCACAATGAAGCAAGAAGTTCTACAGTAAGTTTGTTTTTCTATTGTTCCTTATTTACACACATTCTCTCTAAAAGGACACAGTTAAATTCTAATTGGAATGTGGCATTTTTAATTTAATTGGAATATTTTTCAGTTAACTGAGGAATACACAAACAAAAACTTAATTATAGCAGTCTTTTTTTCTTTCAAAATATTTCTTAATTTTATCAAATTGATATTTGATATTTAAATCATCAAATATCAATTAATTTATATTTCCATAATTTAAACTCATAAAAGAGCTTTTATGATATTTGATGACTTAAAATTGTGCAGAGATACATAAAGAAATGTAAGAGGGAATAATAAAGTATAGAGGGAGATATAGGATTTCAAGCTATGCCCTTATTTTGTGCTTTTAAACAATCTCATTTTTAAAAAATGATTTTCCTTTGTTATCTGCTATATTTTCTAGAACTGTCTACTTACTCCCTGGCTGTTTTGAGCTATTGAATGCATTTTGTTTTGTGCATAATTGCTCTTAAAATGCCAACATATAAAATATAAAAAAATGTGATGGGGTAAAATAAATCTAAATAATTGAGTCCTTGAATTTGTTCATGTCTGACTGAGGTACAAAATGCTCACTTCTTATTACCATGTGAGTTAAAAAAAATCTGTGTAAGATGATTATTTAAGTGTATTTATGAGTTGGCTATAAGAAAAATAACGCTTTTTCTCCTAATTGTCCTGAATTTGCTTGTGCTGAATAGTATAAGAAATAACAATAATAAATAAGCTATGGAATCTTCTCTCAAGCTGCTTTTAGTGCAAGGAGAATATGTAAAGAAATAAGATTTTGAGTACAGAGAACATACTTTGCTCAAAATGTATTATAAATTGAACATGACACTAATTCTAAAATATTTTAGCTAAAAGGTTTGAGATTATAGTTTAATGTAAAAAAGTTAACGATGAGATTGTGAAACGAAGATGAGATAGCAGGTTTTCTCACTATTTTTATTGCAAAGGTGGTACATTCTTCTAACTTTTCCTCAGATCCAGTAGAAAAGTAATATGTATCTTAATATTCTGGAGTGTAACTTGAGGATTCGAGAACAGAGCATAGAGACTGAAGGCAGAGATGTGGATGTATGAACAAAGCAGCTACAAATCCTTAGATCATCAAATTCAAAACTAATATTCTTTTAGACTACATGAACTGAATAAAAAGTCAAAGCTTTGAAAGTCAAGTATAAGTTCCAATAAAATGTTCTTTCTTAGAAGAAATAACCATTGAAGAGGCAAGATCAATATGGGCCATTTAAAATGTAGACTCTAAATCACTCTTTAAATATTAAAAGCAGTGGATAACTGCATTTATATAGTAGAGATAAGGGTTTTTCAAGAGCTTCAATTCTTAACTTGGATCTTAGAACCATTGAAAATCTAATAAAATGATGGACCTGCCCCTCAGGGGAAAATAATTACCATTTAAATAGGATCATTGTACATTTTTTTGGAGGTTCATTGACCTGTGAAATCATAGACTTATATATATAACCAATTCTAGAATATTGTTCTTACTTAATGATACTAATGCCCATTTATAACCATTTTTTATACTTGCATAAAATTTTAATTGTTCTTTAATTCATACCTATACAGACTGGTGGGCTGGGCTGCCAGAAGTATCGATTTTCTACCTGAATGCAGGTTATTCTTTCCTCTCCTTGAAGCTCATATCCTGGGTCACATTGAAAGACAACAGTGTCCCCAGGTTCTCGTCCATCCCCATTTCGAGTTCCATTCATGGGAACACCCGGATCACGACATGCAGTGGCAACAGAACCTGTCAAAAGACAGCAACAAGCCTTTAGTTTTGATGGTATCATAATCAAGTCTGAATTTCCAGGAAGTACAGTTTAGTACCTTCCATATAGCTATGTGCTTTTCGAAAATTAACTTTAAAAAATAATTCAGCCTTTTTCATGCATGCACAATACATACTTTAAAATATTTTTGTTAAGTAACTTGTGTGTTAAATTTGAAGGGACATGGCATTCCAGTAGCTAAATAATAGATTTACTCAAAATTATTAGACGCTTTGTGAAAGACACTATAAAGAGTTTGAAAAGAAAGATACAGGCTGGGAAAACATATTTGCAAGAAACATACTCCAAAAAGTACTCGTATCTAAAATAAATAAAGAACTCTTGAAACTCAGCTATGAGAAAGATAAAATGCAGAAGAAATGATAAAAAAAAATGACAAAACAACAATCCAGTTACAAAATAAGCAAAAAACATTTCAATGAAGAGGATTCCAGATGGCACATGAAAAGATGTTCAACATCATCAGCCATTAGGGAAATGCAAATTAAAACCACAATGAGCTATCACTACATACCTATCAGGTTGGCTACAGTAAAAAAAAAAAAAAAATAGATAATACCAAATGCTGGCAAAATTCTGGAGACTATTGTTTTACTTATACATTGCTGGTGGGCATGTAAAATGGTACAGCCACTCTGAAAAGAAGTATGGCAATTTCTTGAAAAATTAAATGTGTGTTTACCATACAACCCAATAGTTGCACACTTGCACATTTACCCTAGATAAATAAAAACTATGTTCACATAAAAACATAAACACGGATGTTCATAGCAGCTTTATTTATAGTAGTTGAAAACTAGGAACCCAAATGCCTTTCAAAAGGTGAATAATTAAACTAAGTGTGGAAAATTCATACTGGTATCATACAGCAGAGGTGGACAAAAGTAGGTTTCTAGCGGTGAGTACACAAAACAGCTTACTTTTGTATTATTATTTTTAATTAATCATTGTGTGTTCCATATGAACAAGTATAAACTTACTTTTGCCCACCCGTGTATTACTCAGCAATAAAAAAGAATGATGATACACATGACAATTTGGGTGGAACTGAAGGAAATTAACCTGAGTGAAAAAATACACTACCAAAGGGTTATATACTGTTTCACTTAATCTATGTAACATTCTTGAAATGACAAAATTATGGGGTCAGACACAGGTTAGTAGTTATCAGGGATGGTAGGGGTAGAAGATGGAGGGGGATGACTGTGGCTATGAGAAAGATAAAATGCAGAAGAAATGATAAAAGAGTACCATAAAAGATTATTGTCATGAACTGTACTGTATCTTGATGTATTGGTGGTGGTCTCACAAGTCTACACAGAGCTAACTAAACACAAACAATTAAATGTAAAATTTATAAAATCTAAATAAGATTGGTGGATTGTATGCCTGTCAATATTTTGGTTGTGATATACTATATGTAGTCTTGCAAAGTGTTACTATTGGGTGAAAGTAGGAAAAATGTACAATGGATCTCTTAAAAATGTATTGTTTCTTATAACTGCATGTGAATCTACAATTTCCTC